TCCAAATTTTAGAGCTCTCTCTGCAGGATCGGAATGGTCATCTGGATTTTTATGGGGTAGCGGTGACTCCTGACCCAAAAATGACCCCAAAAACAGGATTGTTGCACTCAAATCCCAATTTCAGAGGTCACCGTGCAGGAAGGAGATCGGGATGGCCATCCGCATCTTTATGGGTTAGTGGGGACTGAAAATGACCCCAAAAAGAGGATTCTGGCAATTCAAAATTGCAATTGCAGAGTTCACTTTGCAAGGAGATCAGGATGGTCATCAGGATCTTCATGGGTTAACGGGGACTTTTGGGCATAAAATAATCCCAAAAACAGGTTTATTGCACTCAAAATCCCAATTTCAGAGTTCACAGTGCAGGAGGGAGATCAGGATGGCCATCCGCATCTTTGTGGGGTAGTGGGGACTGAAAATGACCCCAAAAAGAGGTTTATTGCACTCAAATCGCAATTTCAGAGCTCACTGTGCAGGATCAGCATGGTCGTCAACATCTGCGTGGGGTAGCAGGGACTCTTGGGCATAAAATAATCCCAAAAACAGGTTTATTGCACTCAAAATCCCAATTTCAGAGCTCACTGTGCAGGAGGGATATCAGGATGGTCGTCAGGATCTTCATGGGGCAGAGGGGACCCAAAATGATCCCAAAATCAGGATTGTTGCACTCAAATCCAAATTTTAGAGCTCTCTCTGCAGGATCGGAATGGTCATCTGATTTTTTATGGGGTAGCGGTGACTCCTGACCCAAAAATGACCCCAAAAACAGGATTTTTGCACTCAAATCCCAATTTCAGAGCTTATTGTGCAGGAAGGAGATCAGGATGGTCATCTGGATCTTTATGGGGTAGTGGGGGCTGAAAGGAACCCCAAAAACAGTTTTATTGCACTCAAATTGGTAATTTCAGAGCTCACTGTGCAGGATCACGTTGGTCATTGGGATCTTTATGGGGTAGCAGGGACTTTTGGGCATAATATAATCCCAAAAAAGGAGGTTTATTGCACTCAAAATCCCAATTCCAGAGCTCACTGTGCAGGATCAGGATGGTCATCAGGATCTTCTACCCCAAAAATTACCCCCAAAAGAGGATTTTTGCACTCAAATCCCAATTTTAGAGCTCACTGTACAGGATCCAGATGGTCATCTGGGGTTTTGTTGGGGTACTGGGATTTGGGGCCCAGAAATAATCCCAAATTATTGCACACAAATCCCAATTTCAGGCCTCACTGTGCAGAAAAGAGATCAGGATGGTCATCAAGATATTTACCCCTAAAACGACCCCAAAAAGAAGGATTTTTCCACTCAAATCCCAATTCCAGAGCTCACTGTGCAGAATCAGCGTGACCCTCAGGATTTTTATGGGATTTGAGTGGAAAAATCCTTCTTTTTGGGGTCGTTTTAGGGGTAAATATCTTGATGACCAAAAAGAAGGATTTTTCCACTCAAATCCCAATTCCGGAGCTCATTGTGTAGTATCAGGGTGGCCATCAGGATTTTTTTGGGGCTAGCGGGGTTTTGTGGCCCTAAAACGACCCCAAAAAGAAGGATTTTTGCACTCAAATCCCAATTCCAGAGCTCACTGTGCAGAATCAGCGTGACCATCAGGATTTTTATGGGATAACCGGGTCCTCTGCCCCAAAAACGACCCCAAAAAGAGAATTTCTTGCACTCAAACCCCAATTCCACCAATTTCCAATGAAACCAAAGATAATTTGGATTTCAATCCCACCAAGAATCCTCTCAAAATTCACTTTTCCACCTCGATTCCAGCCTGGAAATTGTCCCAATTTCCACCCAAATTTTTTTTTCCCTGGAATTTTTTCTTCCAACTGAGAAAAAATTTGGTAAAAATTGGGAATTTTGGGATGTTTTTTCCATTAATTCTAACCAGTGCAATGCCTTTTGAGCCGAGAGAGAAAAATAAAAATAAATATTTATGGTGCGAGGGCAGGGAGGGATTTTTGGGGATAAATTTTCCCAAGAGCACAGAGAAAAAAAATTAATTTTAATTTTTTTTTTTAAATTATTATTTAACATCATCGGTGGGAAGATTTTCCCACTTTCAGGTGAGGAAATAAATCCAAATTTTTCATCTGCAGCTGCCGGGGTGCGAATCGGACGGAAAAATCACAATAATTTGCATTTTGGGGAGGTTTTTTTGGACTTTAATTCTATTTGTTCTCTTTAATTTTAAATATATTTAAATTTATTTTGTGTCATCAGCATGGTTCTGTCCTGCAGGATTCAATTCCAGTGGTTTTGGGATATTTTGGGGTGTTTTGGGATATTTTCGGATGATTTGGGATGTTTGTTTTAAAATTTTTCCTGATTTTGAGGGGATTTAACTTCAATTTTGCATTATTTCTGCCCTTCAGAGCTGGGGCACAACTTGGAATTTCACCTTTTCCTGAGATTCTATCCCAGACTTTTTGACAATTCCAGGAGGATTTTATTTTCTCCCTTTCCCAGCTTTTTTTTTAATCCAATTCCAGGAGGATTTTCCTCCCTTTTCCAGGTTTTTTTAGCAATTCCAGGAGGATTTTCCATCCTTTTCCGAGCTTTTCTTAACCAATTTCAGGATTATTTTTTTTCTCCCTTTCCCAGCTTTTTTTATCCAATTCCAGGAGGATTTTCCTCCCTTTTCCAGGTTTTTTTTTAGCAATTCCGGGAGGATTTTCCAACCTTTTCCACCTTTTTTCTTTTTATCAATTCCAGGAGGATTTTTCTCCCTTTCCCAGCTTTTCTTAACCAATTTCAGGATTATTTTTTTTCTCCCTTTCCCAGCTTTTTTTTATCCAATTCCAGGAGGATTTTCCTCCCTTTTCCAGTTTTTTTTTAGCAGTTCCGGGAGGATTTTCCAACCTTTTCCAGCTTTTTTTTTTTATCAATTCCAGGAGGATTTTTCTCCCTTTCCCA